ACCACTGAGCCACCTTCCCAGCCCTACACATATCTTTTTATACTAGCACTCACAAATCTTATCAAACTAATCTATTGACATCTACACATTTCCTTCTTTTAGTCATCACTGTATTTGTCACCAGTTGCTATTATCAGTAACATTTTAGGAGTTTACTTTGTTAGACTAATAAAAGGGATTCACTCCACTGTACCCAAATCCTCACAAGAAAGAAATAAATGATCCCTTCATGAAGTAAGACTCTCAATGTGGCAATAACCAGACACAATTCTTTCTGCATAATACGTAAAAGATAGATATAAGCCAAAACTAGTTCTCGTTAAATGTTTTCTAGTAACTCTAACTTCATAAAAGACGTTAAATTCAACAGCTGGGCTGGGAATGTGGCTTAGTGGTAGAGTGCTTGCCTAGCATGCATGAAGTCCTGGGTTCGAATCCTCACTACGATATAAACAGAAAAGGCCAGAAATGGCACTGTGGCTCAGGTGGTAGAGTGCTAGCCTTGAGCAAAAAAGATGTTCAGGGACAGTGCCCAGGTCCTGAGCTCAAGTCCGAGGACTGGCCAAAAAAATAAAAATAAAATAAATGAATCAAAGAGCCTTGCGCAATCTACAATACGTCAGATACCTTGTTAGGTTTTTACATGAATTATTTCATTTAAATATAATTTGAAGAAGGAGGTATTTAAAGATTAGGAAACTAAGGTTCTCAAATTTCAAACTAACAGCTTCCCCTGCATATGTCAGAGCTCAAATATGAACCAAGATTTCTATCAAATCACATGGTGTTGCAGTAAAGCCTGTTTTTAAAGCATGTCTAAGCTCTGAGGTCAGTCATCATACAAATGAGAACACCTCTGGATACGGACTGAGTTCACACTTTGCACTCACCAGTTAATAACTAGAGTAAATTACTGAACCTTTTGTGTACCTCATTCTTTATCTACAAAACAGGAAAAAACAGTATGTACCTAATATGACAATTATGAGGATTAAAGACATAAATCAGATACAGCAGTTACTAGTACAATGATTTATTCCAGTACTCATTCAGTGCCTTTATAAGATCTACTCATATTTATATACTTATACTACTTACACTAGGAATGTTGTTTAAAATTGGCTTTATTGCACATATGCATTAAAAAAAAAAGCTTCTTTCCCAATTTTTACAGAGAAAACAACCCAGGTACAGGAACAATTTGTGAAATGAACTTGACCTTAGTATTTTATTTGATGTGACCAAAATTTTTCAGCTTTATCTTAACTGTTAATTTCTACTACACTATGTAACCTAGCAAAAATGCTTTTAAACCAAAATGCTATCATTAAATATACAGTAATCTATCTCAAACTGATGTTTTGATTTCATTTGAGATGGTATCTCTTCTATCAATAAGTCTGGGCAGGCAATCTGGTGGAGAAGTTGATTAGCACACCAGCTCCTAAAGTTATTTGATGTTTATATATAGCAAATACTCTCAAATATGTAATAAAACACATTTTAAAACAATGATTAAACTGTATTCCCTTCTGTTGTATGAGAAACAGAAAATCATCCTCTATTTTTCCCTCTTTATCTTATTATAAAACAAATCATCAATAAGAGAGAGATAGAGAGAGAGAGATCAAAAATACATGACAAGGCCAAGCATGATGGTGGTACGCGCCTGTAATCTTAGTTACTAGGGAAGAAAAGCTAGAATTCAAGGCTAGCTCAGGTAATGAGGCCTACCTCAAAAACAAAATACATTTAGTATTCTTTTTCTTTTTGTCAGTTGTGGGGCCTGAACTCTGGGCCTAGGCACTGTCCCTCAGCTCTTCAGCTCAGAGCTAGCACTCTACCACTTGAGCCACAGTACCACTTCCAGCTTTTTCTGCTTATGTGGTGCTGAGGAATCAAACCCAGGATCTCATGCATGCAAGGCAAGCACTCTACCACTGAGCCACCTTCCCGGCCCTCAATATTCTTATCTATGGAATGCAATAATAATTATCCTACCTCAAAAACTTATTAGTAGGATCAAGTGAGGTATTAGAATATGAAAGGCACTTTCAAGTGTAAGATAATAATAATCTGAAATATTAACAATGAGTTACCCTATTCTTGTGTCAAATTCATTAAAAGCCTAAAGTCATGATACTATAGTACTAAAAAAAAATGTAAAAGGTACCATTACTTCTCTTAGACAGCTTATATTCTAATAAAGATAATTAAGATTCTCAAATAGCCATAATTCAATGTAAATTTAGCAAGTATTAGACAATTTCTAAAGCCTAGCACACAAAAGAATAAAATGTGGTGCTGTGGCTCTCAAGTGGTAGAGCACTAGCCTTGAACTAAAGAGCTGAAGAGCTGAGGGACAGTGCCTAGACCCAGAGTTCAAGCCCCATTACCAACAAAGAAATAATAATTAAACAATAAATAAAATAAAATATTCACACCTAATAGACTTCAGAAAGCTTCATATAGATGGCTATAGATTAGGATATGTGGGATAAAGTTACTTTGAAAAAAGAAAGAAAGATATATCAATTTAAGTCATGGAAACAAAATATGAAAAACTTTGAATTATTCCCTAATTTACACTTTACTCTAGAACTGATAATTTAGTAGTTAGGTGGCAGGACACTTAGCATGTACCAGACCCTAGATTCTATCTCTAGTACCACAAATCCTTTTTTAAAAAATTAATTTTAGAGCCAATAGAATACTTCCGAGAATAGAATGAGCAAAATGGCATAACATCTTTGTCTTTAAAAATCAATGACAGCCCGTCACCAATGGCTCACCCCTGAAATCCTAGGTACTCAGGAGGCTGAGATCTGAGGATCAAGGTTCAAAGCCAGCTGGAGCAGGAAAGTCTGTGACACTCTTACCTCCAATAAACTACTCAGAAAGCCGGAAGTGGTGTCATGGCTCAAGAGGTAGAGCGCTAGCCTTGAGCTTAAGAGCGCAGGAACAGAGCCCAGGCCCAGAGTTCAAGCCCCACGACCACCTACCCCCCCCCAAATAAAATAAAATAAAATCAATGACAGAGGGCTGGGAGTAAGGCTCTATAAGAGAGCACTTCCCAGCAAAGGGGCACAAAAGTGGTAACAGAGAAGAGAGGTGACAGGCCAGAAGTGGCAATCCCTGTTTGGAGACAAAAGAGCCTACTGAGTAGGTATCGGGAGTGAAAGAGAGAGGGGAGCAAGATAGGATTAGAAATGTACTGCAGAAGTCACCCCCTTAAAAGAAGCAAGCCAGAAAGTGAACAGGACTACCAACCGAGAAACTACACCAAATAGCCTCTTTAACTTCCAAAGTCATATATTGTTAAAAACTTAACTCTGGTTCCATTTCAAAGATTGCAACTAATACACTACAATTACCAAAAAAAAAAAAAAAAGTCCAGGTTACTACTATAACAATACAACGTTAAGGTATCTGCTAAATAACGTAAGGCCCATTATTACATTTATCTTTAATTCGTCGGAACTAAAACCATTCTGAACTGAAGATGGTTTAGTCAGTTTAAATTTTAAAATGCTGATTAAAATCCTCTGTGTACACACACACACACACACACACACACACACACACACACACGTGCGCACGCTCCTATTTTCTCCTATTCTGATAGGAATACCTTCCTACTGGCCTTACCCTCGGCAGCCTTTCCATCTCTTGCAGCCCCTTCATCTCCTGGAGCACAAGGTCCCGGTCCTGGGACATCAGCGCCCACCACGAAGTAGCACGGAGTATGGGGGCCCAAGGGGCGCTCACCAAAGTTAGGGCTTGACTGCGAGCCTGGCCCACAGAGGCCCGGGGCTCGGCACACCTCCAGCCCCTGGCGCACACTGCCTCTGGCGCTCGACACACCCCTCTGCTAGGGACCTCTTCCTCCTCCACCCGCACATTTCCACAGGGTGACAACGTGTCACTTCCTCCACCTAAGTAATACGTCAGGCAGGGGACGTCTCCGTCCCGGCACACCGACTCGGTCCCCTGCACACCAGCCCCCTGCACAACGACTCCGCCCCCTGCACACCGACTCGGTCCCCTGCACACCAGTCCCCTGCACACCGACTCGGTCCCTGCACACCAGCCCCCTGCACACCGACTCCGCCCCCTGCACACCGACTCGGTCCCTGCACACCAGTCCCCTGCACACTGACTCCGCCCCCTGCACACCGACTCTGTCCCCTGCACACCAGCCCCCTGCACAACGACTCCGCTCCCTGCACACCGACTCGGTCCCCTGCACACCAGTCCCCTGCACACCGACTCGGTCCCTGCACACCAGCCCCCTGCACACCGACTCCGCCCCCTGCACACCGACTCGGTCCCCTGCACACCGACTCGGTCCCGGGCACACCAGTCCCCTGCACATCGACTCCGCCCACTGCACACCGACTCGGTCCCTGCACACCAGCCCCCTGCATGGGAACTGTCCCCTGCACACCAGCCCCCCGCACACCGGCTCCGTCCCCTGCACACCAGCCCCCCGCACACCGGCTCCGTCCCCTGCACACCAGCCCCCCCGCACACCGGCTCCGTCCCTGCACACCAGCCCCCCCCCCCCCCGCACACCAGCTCCGTCCCTGCACACCAGCCCCCCGCACACCGGCTCCGTCCCTCCACACCAGCCCCCCGCACACCGGCTCCGTCCCCTGCACACCAGCCCCCCGCACACCGGCTCCGTCCCTGCACACCAGCCCCCCCGCACACCGGCTCCGTCCCTGCACACCAGCCCCCCCCCCCCCCGCACACCAGCTCCGTCCCTGCACACCAGCCCCCCGCACACCGGCTCCGTCCCTCCACACCAGCCCCCCGCACACCGGCTCCGTCCCTCCACACCAGCCCCCCGCACACCGGCTCCGTCCCTCCACACCAGCCCCCCGCACACCGGCTCCGTCCCTCCACACCAGCCCCCCGCACGCCGCCGCCTCCGGGCCCGCCCCGCCGCCGCCGGCCTCCCAGAGCCCACCGCGCCCGCTGCGAGCGCCCAGACTCACCGTCCCCACGGCTCTGCCAGCTGCCCGGGCCGGGGGCCGCGGCTCGGCAGCAAGACCGGGCGCCCGGGGCTGCTGAGCCCTCCGGGTCCGCTGCGCCCGCCGAGCCGCTGCGCCGCCAGCTCCCGCCGCCACCTCAGTGCCGCCCTGGCGTTTCCGGGTTCCCGCGGTCCGCTCCACCACACGTTCCGGCTTCCGCCGGGGCCCCGGCAAACGCCGTTCCGGGCTGGACTCCGGCGGCCCCAGCTTCGCACTCGCCAGTTCTGGGCCTAAAGGCGTCCGTACCCGGCGGCTCGGTCAGTGGCCCAGGGGCACAGATCCGGGGACCCCGGTCTCCTTCTAGACGCCCCCGGGGCACAGATCCGGGGACCCCGGCCTCCTTCTAGACGCCCTCGGGGCACAGATCCGGGGACCCCGGCCTCCTTCTAGACGTCCCCGGGGCACAGATCCGGGGACCCCGGCCTCCTTCTAGACGCCCTCGGGGCACAGATCCGGGATGGGGGAGATGGATCCGACCCCGTCCTAGTCGCCCCAGGGCACAGATCCGGGGGGATTCTTCACCGCGCCGGCCTCTCCAGACTGGCAGGCTGCAGGAAATGACCTGATGACGAGCACTGGAGAAAGGGCAAAGTCCCTCAGGGCAAAGGACCCTGAGGGAGGGCAAGGAGGCGGATCCCGTTTTAAAAAATGACTGTCAGTGACCTGAAAGCAAACAAGATTAGCCACGAGTCGTGGGTCGATTTGCCAACCAGTACAACTTGTTTGCTGGAAATGACCCTACTCCCACCCTGACAGTCCTTCCAGCCCAGGAGACCCCCGCCAAGCCAGCAGTGGGCTGGGAGCGAGGAGGAGGGAGACCACCCCTGCGGTCCGTTAGGGGATGGACGGGTTGAAATGAATATCCGATTTGGTGATCAACTAAATAAGGCCAGGATTATGCCTTTCCTTTTTAACATATTGATGTTAAGCTCATGCTCGTTCTCTGTCTCTCTCTGTCTGTCTGTCTGTCTGTCTGTCTGTCTGTCTGTCTGTCTGTCTGTCTCTCTCTCTCTCTCTCTCTCTCTCTCTCTCTCTCTCTCTCTCTCCTGTGTGGCAGTCCTAGGGCTCGAACTCAGAGCCTGGGTACTGTCCTTTTTTTGCTGAAGGCTGGCTCTCTCTGCTAATTTCTGGTCAGCTGATAGGGTTTCTGGACCCTTTAGTCTCATATCTAACGAATGTATTAATTCTTCGGTGGGCACAATTTTGAACAGACTTGGGAAGTGGTGGAAACGGTGGACAAGGTGGGACCCCGTTGGAGGAAGTGGGGTCTCTGAAAACCTGCCTTTGAAGGGTACATCTCCTCTCCTCTGTCCTTATTGGCTGCCTGTCCATCTTGAAGTGAGAAACTCTGGTTCCCAACAGCCTCCCTACCATGGTGTCCTGCTTCACCACAGAAGGTGCTAGAAGCAATGGAGCCAAGTGACCATGAACATGGACAGAAATCTCTGAAAGCCTGAGCCAAAATAAATCCCTCCTCCATTAAGTTATTTATTTGGGTATTTTGTCACAACAATGAAAAGTGACTTTCACAGGACTTGGAATGTTTTGTTGCCCTCCCTCCACCGTGCTAGAGAATTAAACCCAGATCGTACTTTTTACATTCTACCACTGAGCCATCTCTCTAGCCCTGGTCCAATTTTTCTGCTACTAAAATGTACCTGGTAAGTTATAATAATAGCTAGTCACTATTCTAAGATCTGTGTGTATGCACACACACGCATATAAAACACTATGTTCAGTTACTGTGTAGGTGTGAGGGCAAAGAAAGAGTTAAAATATTTTTAAATACATCAGTAAGAAAAATACACCTTATAGCATAAATACATTCTTTAGAGAAAAGAAAGACCTTTCAATTTGTTCAGAAAGCTTTAAAATCGTAACAATAGATATAGAAGCACTTCTGATTATGGAGTAGTAACATAAACTTTGTCACCATTGATAAACATGAAACTAAAAATGATCCAAAAACCTATACAAACAAGAACAACAATGAAAATGAGAACAATAAAAAACAAGTTGCGTGGTAGTAACACCTGTAGTCCCAGATATTCAAGAAGCTAACTTGGGAGGATCACTTGAATCTAGGAGTGTAAGTCCAGCCTGGACAATTTAATGGGACATTTTTTTTTATTTTATTTTATTTGAAAACATACTGTACAGAGGGGTTACAATTACATGGGCAGGAAAATGCATACATTTCTTACCAAGCATTGCAGCCTCCTCCTTTGTTTACCCTTCACCTCCCTTCCCAGCCTCCCCCCTCCCCCCCCACCCAATCATACCCCCCCTCCCTCCCCCCCCACCGATAATGGGACATTTTTTCTTCCCAAAAGAAAGCAATACTTCAGTTAGCCTTCCCTGGATTTATAATTTATCTTCCAATAACACAGAACTATTGTTCCCCTTGGATTCCCCATTCACAATACCTATTCTAAATTCCCTCATATGATGTTCACCAAATGCAGAATACTTTTCTACATTATCTTTTTATAGTTGACTTTGTCACCGGATGCAGGTGAAGATTTGCTAAATTGTCCTTAATGTAGGGACTCTTCACTTAGCAATCACAGAATAAGAATTTCTGGATAAACTGGTGCGCTGGTGGCTCACGCCTGTAATTCTAGCTACTCAAGAGGCTGAGATATGAAGGTCGCAGTTCAAAGCCAGCCCGGGCAGGAAAGTCTGTGAGACTCTTATCTCCAACTAAACACCAGAAAATCAGAAGTAGCACCATGGCTTAAAGTGTTAGAGCCTTGAGTGAAAAAGCTCAGGGACAGCACCCAGGCCCTGAGTTCAAGCCCCATGACCAACAAAAAGAAAAAAAAATCTTTCATGAAATAGAAGCAGAAAGATTGAAACCAATCTCTTTCTATGAAGTAAGAATTATAGTCATTCTCAAAACAGACAGATGTAACAAAAAAGAATTATAAATCAACAGCTGGGTACTGGCACAAAAATAGAATGCAATGATATAGAAGAAAAAGCCAGAAGTGGCATTGTGGCTCAAGTGGTAGAGTGCTAGCCTTGAGCTGAAGAGCTGAAGGACAGCACTCAGGTCCAGAGTTCAGGCCCCACAACTGGACCCCCCCCAAAAAAAAAACAGAAGAAAAATGGATCCAATTGGAGGACATCATAGTCATTAAGATGAACCAAGCTTAAAATAAATAAAATATTATGTCTAGCTTTCACATAGACCTAAACGACATGCATATTTATCGTATGTACGTATTTATATATATTCATTTCCATAATTATATATAGATCAACACAGACAGGAATCAAACTAAGGAACTTCATAGGAAGAGATAGGGAAGGGGGAAAAGAAAAAGAAATAGAGTCATTTTTGAAATACATTTTGAAAGAGGATTAATTTGATCAAAATAGATCATTTGTAAACTGACACTCGTGACTCATGCCTGTACTTCTAAACTAGTCAGGAGGCTGAGATTCACAGTTTGCAGCCAGTCCAGGCAAGGAAGTCCATAAGACTCTTAGCTCCAATAAACTACCAGAAAGCTGGAAATGGAGCTGTGGCTTGAGTGGTAGAGTGCTAGTCTTGAGCAAAAAGAAGCTCAGGGACAGTGCCCAGGCTCTGAGTTCAAACACACACACACATACAAAAAAAGGAAAGAGAGAGAGACAGAGAGAGAGGGAAGGAAGGAAGGAAGGAAGAGAAAGAAAGAAAGGTCGTTTGTAACTATAAAAAGTGAACAAAGAAACTTGTTGAAATTGTTTTGGGAAGGGAGGAAGGTAGAGTGACAGAGGGCGTAAGATTGATTGGAACATACTGTAATCCCTTAAAAAATCTTTCTCTCTAGAACTAATGAAGCTAATATTAAAAAGAAAAAGGGAAACAGGATAAAGTAGGGAGAAAAAGAAAAAAAAAGAGGAGATTCCCTTGTATGATCTGCAGAGTGCAAGCTAAAGAGGCATCTTGTTGCAAACCTTGTCATGGTGTGTTTATGCTTTCTAGACTGCCTCCATCTAAAACATCTCCATGTTTCATAATAATGAGTAACACTCATCATAGCTACCCAGTTCTGTTTAATGATTAGGGATGCCACATGCAGTGATCATGTGTATTTCCCCAGCTCAGAAAGCATAAAGACCACACATAAGAGCCAGCTTTTGGAGCCTTTAGTCACCTTTTCTTCTTGGGGAAGAGAAATGTTTCTTTCTGCTTCTACTTTTTTCCTATTATATTAAAACAAATCCTTGCTAAAACTTCCACCTTGTGGTACTCTCCTTGTGAGACCTCTTGAAATTATTTTGCACGTGTGAAACTAAAGTAGATGTGTGTTTATTTGTTTTGTGGAAACTGGGAAGCTAAGTGAACCTTCAAATATCATCTGAATGAACTAGAGACAGAGACAGACAGACAGAAAGGTAGAAAAGGGAAGGGGAACAAATGAGCATAGGGGATTAGTCCTCAGGTGTTTGAGTATCGATTTACCACATATTTTGTTCCTATTCTACTATAGTTCTCAAAACTATTGAATTGAAATTATAGTTCAGGAGCAGGAAAAACTAGTTTCATGCTCCAAGGTGCCAAGTTATTGAATCTGGCTTGTTCTGGTTATTTTTGTTTTTTGTTTTGTTTTTTTGGAGGAGAAAAGCAGCAATTTGTAAATAAATAATAAAAATATGGTCCCAAATTATCTATCTGAACATCATTTGCCTCCAAAGAGATTTGCATCAAGTCCCTTCTGTATCAGGCCTTAACCATCAATCATATGATCCTTAAACTTTCTGAGAGGTTCTGTAGAATTTGAAGTGGATTTGCCTTTCATTTCCTCCTTCGGCCATTTGAGAAGCACACTGCCTGGTCCAAGCTGCAAGAAGGTGGATGTGTGAGTTAGAAGTGCAGAAAAAATGAAAGAGTATTGGTGATCATGCAAGTTCAAGTGTCCAGTGGTTGTAAGGCATTTTATCCTCTGTGTACACAGGTCCCTCCCCCTGGTTCCTCTAGGGCTAAGTACTATGGGGTGAACATTGGGAGAAAAGCACATACTATGCCCTGGTACTATTAAAGCTGATCAGAGGCCTCCTGAACCTGGGGAGGGATGGATGTGCTTCAATGTTAGCAAATCCAGCCTGTTACTCATCAGACCTAAAGTGCATTTGACTGCAATAACTTGGTCAGTGCCTCCAAGATGGCAGGCCTGGCATCCCATTCAAGGAATATTTACTACACCCAGGATAATGGGACCTTGCCATATCTTGCCATTGACCAATATCTGTTCTGTTCAT